GGACGTGGCCAGGCAGGGGTGGCATTTGGAGGTTCGCCGAACCCCAGCAATCCTTGAGGATTGCCTGAACCCTGCCAAACCTAATTATTACAAGACGACATCTTAAATATCCTGCTTTATCAAGGCTCTGTATGAACATCCCTTCTCATGCCTAGCAATATACATAGAATTCTCCATTTTGTTCATTGTTAAGCATGCTTTCACTATGTGGTGAATCTCCAGGCTCCTCAAAAAAAAGTCCAAGATTAACATAAGAAAGAACTTATAGACTTTCTGGAGAATTTCTGGGAAACCTCTCTAACAATGGTCTTCATGAACCGGATTCCCTTCCCCCCTGGAAGCAGCACCACAAATTGTCATCCAAGAATATTTCAAAGTTCATAATATTTGACAGTTTAAAGTTTGTGCTTAGAATGAGGCACTTTCAGATGTTTTTTTTTTTCACTCCACCTTTCCCCTTTTCGGTAACTAGTAGCAACTAGTTGCAGACATTTATTTATTTGATTTATACAGAGCCACCCATGTAGCAGCTGATCTTACTTTAATTGCAAGCAAAAGGATTGAGATTAAAGGTTTCCAATCTTCTCAGAATTAGTAGGTGAAGGAGGGCTGGGCAAGAGGTGGCTGAGCAAGACTTGTGAGGAAACCTTTGATAGTCCTGGAAGTCCTAGTAGAACATACCAAACCAAGCCATCGCCTGCCATGATGGTGCCTGTGCAGCGATGAACAAATATTCCGTCTGATTTCTCCTGCTCCCCTCATACGCCCTGTGATCTCAGCCAGATAGATAGACTAGATAAAATATGACTCATTTAATCACAGGGTCAGAGATATTCCCTTACCTAAGAGAGAAACAGAATAACCACTGGCAGGCACAAAATCAGAGGCAGCTGTTCCAATTTCCTGTTGGCTTCCCCACTGAATTTCCTTATGGGAAGGTGACAGTGGGCAGTGGAAATCTTCGTTCCCCTTTCCTTTCCTTTCCTTTCCTTTCCTTTCCTTTCCTTTCCTTTCCCTTCCCTTCCCTTCCCTTCCCTTCCCTTCCCTTCCTTTCCTTCATCTCCCTTTCCTTTACTTCCCTTCCCTTCCCTTCCCTTCCCTTCCCTTTCCTTTCCTTTCCTTTCCTTTCCTTCATCTCCCTTTCCTTTCCTTTCCTTTCCTTTCCTTTCCTTTCCTTCCCTTCCCTTCCCTTCCCTTCCCTTCCCTTCCCTTCCCTTCCCTTTCCTTCATCTCCCTTTCCTTTTGTTTTGTTTCCTCCTCCTTTCCTTTCCTTTCCTTTCCTTTCCTTTCCTTTCCTTTCCTTTCCTTTCCTTTCCTTTGATTTCCTTTCCTTTCCTTTCCTTTCCTTTCCTTTCCTTTCCTTTCCTTTCCTTTCCTTCATCTCCCTTTCCTTTTGTTTCGTTTCCTCCTTTCCTTTCCTTTCCTTTCCTTTCCTTTCCTTTCCTTTCCTTTCCTTTCCTTTCCTTTCCTTTCCTTTCCTTTCCTTTCCTTTCTTTCCTTTCCTTCATCTCCCTTTCCTTTGTTTCGTTTCCTCCTTTCCTTTCCTTTCCTTTCCTTTCCTTTCCTTTCCTTTTCCTTTCCTTTCCTTTCCTTTCCTTTCCTTTCCTTTCCTTTCCTTTTGTTTCCTCCTTTCCTTTCCTTTTGTTTTGTTTCCTCCTTTCCTTTCCTACCTCACTCATCCAGCAGTGGGTGCTGCTGGATGAGCGAGGTAGTGAAAAATTGTGCAAGTGGCCAGAAGGTTTGAAGAACATTGAAAATGGTGATCATGTCACCACATCAACGTGGCAGCCACACTGAATCAGCAGCAGTAGTAGTGTCGCAGAAGCAGCCTGGCAGTGCTTCAGCAGCCACAACTATTCAAATTTTCCCAAAATAAATTCCTGTGGGGGGGGGGGTCATGGCCCCCAACATTCTGTAAGTTAGCCCATTTGAGGTATCTTGGTTGAAAAGATTTTGCCTTATGATGTATCGCTACACCCAGAGAATGAGTGAGAGAGAATGAATGAGAGAGATTGAGAGAGAAAGAGAGAGAATGAGAGAGAGAGAAAGAAAGAGAGAGAGAGAGAGCTATGCCATTCTACTATAGAACTATAATATCTGGAAGATGAAGGGATGGAAGGATGGAGGGAGGGAGGGAGGGAGGAAGGAAGGAAGGAAGGAAGGAATTTCTCGCAAGTGTCTAGACTCTCTTATACCCAAATCAAAATGGACATAGTGAGCAGTGTCCAGTTGAGAGAAAATGTCACCAAAAACTCTTAAGCAACCAAAAGGAGCTCACCAAATCCCTGCCTCTGGTCATATCACTGCCAGTCTCATCACTGAGGCTTTTCTATTTTTGTCTTTTTCTTGATTCAGGGAAGAAACATATTCTTCTTTGATCCCAGAGATACTTTGATGCATAGTCTCTGGTGAGACCCTCCCCTTTAGCAATGGCCTTTTCTTACAATCCTCAAAACACGTCTCCCCCCAGCATCTCTTTGGCCAACAAAAGTAGAGAAGGAAAGAGACCACACATCTGGATCGTTCAGACAAGTCTTTTTACTATGGGTTATGAGTAGAAAAAAAAAATTACTGGCATTCCTTACGTGGAAAACAAAGTATTTAATGCTTGGTGGACATGGAAAAAAGCTTGAAACTATTAAATTCAAATATGCTGATTCACAGGATTTTAAAGATTAATACACAACTGAGACCAGAGGATTTTCTGTTGGGATTGATGGTCAAACAATCATTAAAAAGTCATGGAGTTTTGTTTTTGAATATTTTGAATATTTTTAGTATTTTGAACTGTGGCCCACTGTGCCATCGAGTGCCAAAAGCGGGAGGGTCCGTGTGTGTGTGTGTGTGCGTATAGAATTATGGGAGTGAGCACGCACATGCACGACCCCCCCCTTTCATACTTATTAAATCAAGATTGTGCTTTATTGTTAGGAACAGTGGTAGAAGTCTTTGGAGAGCAAAAAGCAGCATACAAAAGTCTTCAGATACAAATATAATACAAACAGATGAAATCAGCTAATGTAATTAGTTCTGAAATTCAGCATCCTAGAGTTTACATTTACTATAAACCAACAAACATTTGAATCTAGAATTAAGGAGAGGGCATGTACAGAGGGTGAGTTCTCACATTTTCTAAATCAACCTTATGCATAAGTTTTTATTAATAGTAAGGGGAGGGGAGAACTTTGGCAAATTTGTTTTTTCTTCTCTTTTCATGTAGGGCAAATATTTCACAATTTGTTACCATGCAATTTAGTGCTTTTCATATCTGACAATGCCTCAGTAATGACAGCCTATTAAAAATATCTGTTTAAAGTTTTTCCGTTTAACTGCAGGCAGACTACTCACCTACGCTTATTCCCTGCAGATAGTTCTTTAGTACAGATGAAATGTATATTTCTTTGGTACTGAGCTGAAAGAGTCCTGCTGGTATAATGTCAGGGACAAAACTATACTGTGTCAAACTCCTGAATGAGAATGAGCAGTATTATGTAGCTCAGTCTGGCTAATTACCATTACTTGGGAGACTTAGTCAATCTCTGCCAAACCCAAAATTCGTGAGCCGCAAGAAATCTATTGCTTGGTATTCTCAGTAGGCTCAATGTACCCACTAGATGCAACAATTATCGATAAATTACTGTGTCCAATGTGGACGTGCACTACTCTTAGTTTAAACTAAAAGCACCTCTTACCTGCAAAGGGCTTTAAATTTGGGACAATTGTGTTAAGAACAGGAGTAAATGAAAGACCAAAGGAATGAATACATTTCTGAATGGGAATAATTGTTTCTCCTAACTGAATTTGTACTATGTAATAATCTAGATTAAATTGGTTGCATAATTTCTGGGTCCTTATACATTTGTTTAGCCATGGCATGACTCTCGAATAACTCAGATTTTAGGTTTAGATTAGGTTTTAGTAATGATATGTGTACCCAACTATCAAGTGCTACTGGACCATTAAGGATTTTTTAATCTTGGTTACTAGATAGATATCTAAGCTCAAGAACATTGTATCTACACTACTTTAGGGTATTATTATTCTGCATTTTGATATGATATACTTACTGAGAGCAGATGGAATGCTAGCAGAGGTGGTAGTCAGCAGCAGGTTCTGACCAGTTCTGGAGAACCAGTAGCGGAAATTTTGAGTAGTTCGGAGAACTGGTAAATACCATCTCTGACTGGCCCCGCCCCATCTATTCTCTGCCTCCCGAGTCCCAGCTGATCAGGAGGAAATGGGGATTTTGCAGTAACCTTCCCCTGGCGTGTGGAGGGAATGGAGATTTTACAGTATCCTTCCCTTGCCACACGCACCATGCCATGCCGTGCCATGCCCACCAAGCCACGCCCACAGAACTAGTAGTAAAAATTTTTGAATCCCACCATTGAATACTAGGGTTTATGTAGGGATGATCAGCGATTACACAGTTCATGCAACATACATGTTAGGAAGAAGACCAGCTGTTGTGATTCAACTCTATTTTTATTTAAGTCTAAAAACAGTCCAGGCATGAAACATAAAGCTTCATATATACACATTGGCAAATTTCATGTGCCTTCAATCTTAATTCAGATGCTTCCCCAAACCACCAATTCAGATCTCTGGCAAGTGTAGAAAAGTGTCCTCGTTTATTGCATCAAGACAGAAAAATGACAAGATGCCAGATTAAAAAAAAAAAAACAACCCAGTATGGTAACTTGCTCTGAATATGCCACTATTACAGATATGTGCAAAGGTAAATGTTTTGGATATTTTTCACTTGGTTAGAAATATTTAAATGACCAAGTGTGGATTAAGCAATGTGATGGCATTATTTAGAATGCCTTTAAACAGATTATAATAATTAAAACTGATTATATAAGCTTCTTGTATGATAAATTAAAATCCCTTTTGACTGAACAAAGAGAAAAGAGAGAGAGAGAGACAGAGATGCAGAGAAAGAGACTCAGACCAGCAATTGAGAGACACATGGGCACCAGCAATTGCTGAAACCAAAACTTCTTGGATTTATGCCTTCTTTGGTAGAATTCCATTGGAGATTTTCCCCATTTGAGTAGAGAGGACACTGGTAGGTTGGGGTTTAATATAGGGAGATGTCCAGTAGGAACCAAAGGACACTCGGCAGAAAGATAGCAAAAGATAGGCAACTGGAAATCTGACTGCCACCACTTTTGGATTCGGCTTCCCCAAGTTGGACATTTTCAAGTTCATACGTTGCGTTTTCAGAGGCTAGGACGATACCTTTTTTGAAGATGGTGTTTTCAACAGCGCATCCCCTGGCATTGAAATCTTGAACTACAGTAGAACCTGTGAAACCAAAGGATGGGGGGGGGAGGACAGGACTAGAATTAGCATGTTTTTCTCCCCAGGAGCGATGTTGAATTTGGCTCAACTGTGCACCAAATTCCCTGCAATTTTCACTAGAGATGAGTGAATGTGCTATTATTATTATTATTATTATTATTATTATTATTATTATTATTATTACTATTATTAGCTGGAAGTTCCTCAGATCCTGACTTGTTTGATTTGGCACATATCTAAATCAATGAATTGATAGTAAAACCAATGGGATGTCTGCACATTTTATCTGAGCGGTGGTGGTGCAGTGATTAGAAGGCAGTATTGCAGGCTAATTCTGCCAACTGCTGGCAGTTCGATTCTCACCGGCTCAAAGTTGACTCAGCCTTCCATCCTTCCATGGTTGGTAAAATAAAAGACCCAGATTATTGGAGGCAATATGCTGGCTCTATAAACCAGGGGTCTCCAACTTTGGCCGCTTTAAGACTTGTGGACTTCAACTCCCAGAATTCCCCAGCCAGCATGGGCCACATGGAGGCCCCGCGAGACCCTCCACGTGGCCCGTGTGGCCAGCAAAGTGCTGCAGGAGGCCGTCCAGGTTTTGCTGCAAAAACGGGGCGCAGGGGGCTGCGTGTGGCCCACCCATGCCCCATTTTGGCCAGCAGGTTGTTACAGGAGGCATCCGTCCCATTTGTCCCCCTGCTCCCCGCCCACCCCACCACCCTGCACCAGCTCGCGGAGATCTACATTGCTGATCCAGTGTTGTGGCCCGTACGCAGCCTGTGCGGCTGGTGGCTGATTCGGACAGCGAGGAGGCTGGTATGGTGCTGTTCCAGCAGCCTGTGCAGTTGGCACTCGAGTCAGACAATGAGGAGGCTGGGGAAGATGTGGTGCCAGAGGCGGGGATTCAGCCAGGGCCTTCAGAACCTCCAGAAGTTCCCTTAAGTGAAGAGGAAGAAGAGGAGGAGCCTCTTCTTGATGCACGGGCACACAAAGCTGCCAAAAGGCAGGAGTGGCTCCTCAGGAGGAGGTCTCCTCGAGAGTAAGGCTTGGGGCTAATTGGCCACTCCCTTAGCCTATTTAAGGAGGAATGCTGACTGAAGCAATTTGCAGGGAACAACTTCGTTCACTCTCCTTCGTGCCTTGATCTTAGTTTTCTGCAAATTGCTTCTGGGCTTTCTGCCAACCATAGTAAGATTAAGATTATTTATTCTTTGGATTCTTGTAGGCTGTTAAGAAAGTTAATTAACAGCCTATGTTTGAAAAAAAAACTGATTTAATTTATTAAACTAAGGTTTGTACAGATTTTGTGTGTGCTGCGTTCTTTGGGGTCTGTAGCTGGGGCAGAACATCCAGCCCTCGAAGAAATCTAGTTTGATACCCCTGGCTTAGACTAAGGGATCGTTTCTCCTTCTCCTACAGGTAGTTCTCAACTTACGATCATTCACTTAGAGACTGTTCAAAGTTACAGCGGCACTGAAAAAAAAGCACTTAACTCCTGTCACAGCTTCTCCATGTTCAATTGATTTGGGTGCTTAGCAATTTGGGGCATATATTTAGGCGAGTTGCAGTGTCATGTGGTCATGTGAGCGCTACTTGCGACCTTCCCACCAGGTGTCCAACAAGCCAAGTCAATGGGGGAAGCCAGCTTCTCTTAATGACCATTTGATTTACTTAACAACTGCAGTGAAATCTCTGAACAGCTGTGGCAAAAATCAGGCACACCTCATTTAATGACCGGCTTGCTTAGCAATAGAAATTCTACTCGCAACTGTAGTTAAGTCGAGTCTGTTAGAAGCGGGTACAGCTTTTGGGACGAGAGTCTGGATTAAAATGTAATGAATCTATGGGATGTTTCTGATTTACCTTTTTTGTTGACTGTCCCGCTGATGTTGAAGCATTTCTTCTGGAGATCGTTGCAGTTCATTGATTTGCCATCGCATAAATTCTTATCGAGAGCAAAGCATGATGGGCAAACCAGATCACTCGTGGGAAAAATCCTGTCAAGTGCTGCAAGAATTAAGATATCAATGAGTTAGCACGGAGCTGAACCTTTTGCGCTACTTCCACGAGCAAAATTATCCCAGGGGTATTTGGGAGGGGAAATCTTATCCAGTTCCGTTTTTGGGGATACCACTCCCCAAAATTTGTAGAAGGACAGATATTTATTCTCTGCACAATGGAGCGGGGCCTGTTTTGAATCACCAGCTGGAGGTGTGATCTCTGGTTTAGATGGAATGGATATTTAGGTCTAATTTCCTGAGGTGGTTATTATTATTATTTATTTATTTATTTGTCAACAAGTACAAGGAAACAAGTAACAGTACAGACATAGACATAGACATGGACACATGAAAAAAAATTGACACAAATAAAAGGAAATAAATAAGCAAAACATAGCCATAAACACATAAAATGTGTACATATAAATGGGAAGAGTAGGATAGGGTCAGAAGCCATGCTGGTGCACTTATGCTTAGGGACCTCTTAAGAAACATGAAAGGTCCACGGTAGACAGTTTAAGGTAAAAGATATGGAGATTAGCGAGACTAACCACAGGATCAGGTAGAGTGTTCCAGACATTTACTACTCTATTGCAGAAGTCTTGGTGGCGCAGCAGACTAAAGCACTGTTAAGATAACACCAGCTGCCTGCAATTACTGAAAGTTCAAATCTCACCAGGCTCAAGGTTGACTCAGCCTTCCATCCTTTCAAAGGTAGGTAAAATGAGGACCCGGTTTGTGGGGGCAATAAGCTGACTTTGTATAAAATAGAACACCGTTCAGGGGGGGCCGAAAGCAGGTATATACAAAAGTATGAAGGCTATTGCTTAACGCATTGTAAGCCGCCCTGAGTCTCCGGAAAAGGGTGGCATATAAAACGAACAAATAAATATTTCCTACAATCAAGATTAGAGCGAATTGAGTTTGAATCTGTTGATAGCCCTTGTGTTCAGACAATTTAATGGACAATTTAGACATTTAAGTCTGATGTCCCTTGGGAGTTTACCTGGTGCATTATAAATACAGTCACCTAACTATCAGTAAGAATTCCATCCAGAGAGATTGCTATTAAAATGGGGGCTGTATGAAATGGGAATCAGAGGGGGGGAATGCAAATAAAAGCCGATTTAAAAAAACAAACAAATGCCACCTACTTGCATTGAGATCTTTATTGCACAAATCTTTATCACAGCATGTAATATTGCTCATCAGATAAAAATCCTTCTCAGAGGACATGAGGATAAATCCCTGTTTGCAGATATCTGGATCCACTTTGTCGTCCTGGCAGCCTCTAATTGTTACTTTAACTGGCTTGTCCTTTTCTGCGGAGAAAGGGGAGGAAAACTGTGTTACAAAGGAGCTGAAAAGGCAACTGTTGGCGTTTGTTAAAAGCACTGCTCGGTAGTCCCAAGGGTGCTTTACAAATGGCAACTGGACTTCCTTGGGTTTTTTCCCACCCCCCTTGAAAACGTTTCTCGAAAAAGCTTCTGGGATGAGAAGAGAAACGTTTTCAGGGAGAAAAGCCAAGAAAATCCAATTGTCTTTTGAAAAACACCTTGACCTAGAGATGATTGAGAAGCTCTATAGCAGTGATGGCTAACCTTTTGGCTGTCGTGTGCTGAAAGTGCCCACACCCATAATGCAATGTGCGCACCCCCCATGCACCCCCTCCCCCTGCACATGCGCCTTGCTTCTGCACATGCGCAGATTGCCAATGATGACATCTGGGGCAGTGGGCGGGGCCTCCCGCTGGTTTTACTACCGGTTCTTGTGAACCGGTCTGAGCCGGGGGCAACCCACCACTGCCACATTCCCCCCGCGCCCCGTTTTGGGCCCAGTAGGCCTCCCTGCATTTATAACCCATAATGCAATGCACATGCGACACCCCTCCATGCTCCCCCCTGCCTCCCCACATGCATGCACATCTCCCGCATGTGTCCTGCCCCCGTGCATGCACAGCAGAGACCCGAAAATCAGCTGGAGGCACACATGCATGCACAGTGGAGCTGAGCTGGGGCATTCACCTTTTAGGTCTACAGAGACCAGGATGAGTTCCCCAACAATTAAACGTGGTATAAATTTTCACAATCTCCTGACATTATGGAAAGGTAAGCTCAAGGACATTTTCAGCCACATTTTTGTGGCCATGATGCTTAAACACCATCCAAAATGAGACTTTTCCAGGAGATTGGGCAAATGCCAGACAATTGTGGACGCTGGAAAATTCTCCTCTCCTCATCCTCTCTTCCTTTCTCTTCTGCTTCCCATTTCCTTCCTTCCTTCCTTCCTTCCTTCCTTCCTTCCTTCCTTCCTTCCTTCCTTCCTTTCTTTCTTTCTTTCTTTCTTTCCTCTCCCCTCCCTCTCTTTTCCTTCTTCTCTTTCTCTCCTCTCCTTTCTTCCTCTTTCCCTCCCTCCTTCCCTCTCTTTCAATTGAGAAAGTTCCTAGAAGTAGTTATTCAGAAAAGCAAATAGGAAGTGTCAGCATTTACCGGTAGCGATTTCCCTCTCGATTGAATAACATTGCCCCGTTTCGACTGTACAAGTTCCTCCGGTACACGTAGAACATTGGCAGTTAAGGGCATTTGCTGTTTTGGGTGGGGGGAAAAAAGAAGAATAAAATAGCAATAATTTTGAATTGAAAAGCATAACTAATAATTTATTTATTTATGCTTTCTGATCTAATTCTTTTTTCCAAGGAATGGTGACCAGTTGCACCCTCTTTGACCAGAGGTGGGTTCTACTTACCTTTACTACCGGTTGACAGCAGAGCTGCGTGCATCCGCAGAAGCGTTTTGATGACATCGGGGTCAGTGGGCGGGGCCTCCCGCCAGTTTTTCTACCGGTTCTATAGAACCGGTGCGAACCAGGGGCAACCCACCACTGTCTCTGACCCTGTAAAAGCTTGTCCTAATCATGGTTTATGCATCAATTATGCATCAATGAGCTGCGGTGGCACAGTGGTTAGAGTGCGGTACTGCAGGCTACTTCTGCTGACTGCCAACTGCCTGCAATTTGGCAGTTCAGATCTCACCAGGCTCAAGGTTGACTCAGCCTTCCATCCTTCCGAGGTCGGTAAAATGAGGACCCAGATTGTTGGGGGAAATAGGCTGACTCTCTAAACCGCTTAGAGAGGGCTGTAAAGCACTGTGAAGCGGTATATAAATCTAAGTGCTACTGCTATGGCTAATACACTGGCCGCTCATTACCCAGATAGGTAACACCATCAGGCACTTTATCAGGGCAATGAAACATCTGTAAGAAAGCCAGCAAGCTCAGAGAACACCAAGGATCCCAACATATTTTTAATGTTAATCAATCAATAATCTCCACGTTACAGCGGATTACAATTTCATCACACTTTGCCTTCTGCCCACCCAGCCCAGAGGCTATGATCCAAATATTTACTGGACTTACCTGTAGCGATCACTGTAGCAGTGAAAAGAAGAAGATACTTCATTTTTTTTTTTCTGGGAATGGAGAACTTTTTTGGCTTGCACAGAGATAAATGTTCCAACAACCAATTTCTTCAGGTTTGACATTTGTTAGGAAGAAAGAGCAAGAGAGAATTAATATGGCAAATGAACAAATGGAAACTTGGAGGCCAGCTCGTGAAACTGGTGAATCGTGAGTTGGATAGCGTTTTTTTCTTTTTTCTGGATACGATTTCTAAAATTCTCTGACTGGAAAAATAATGAGTATATTTGGGAGAAACATTGCTTCAAAGGTGTAAAATTACAGTGGAGGAAATAGAAACTACCTTCTATTCATGATGGCTTAGACATTTCCCAATTCTTCACGGCCTAGTCTTCCGCACCCTAAATGACAATTTCTGTCTGTCATTGGGCACTTTAGTTTTGGCTGAGGGCCACAGGGAAAACTAAATGCGGCTGAATTTTAATACAAATACTGTACAAATGTAAATGAAATTAAATATATATGCTTGTCCTGGCTGACCCTGGCTGATTTCTGAAAAGGGAAGAGGGTCAGAATTGGTGGCTACATGAATGGGAGACCACCAAGAAACTCCCGATTTGTAGACCTGATTGGAAAGGGGGAATCCTGGAACTCGCTTCAGGAAGCCAGATTGGTTGTATCTGGGATTGATGCCTTGGCAGAGAAACTAGGCAAGAATTGGAGAATTATGAGGCTGTTGAAAAAAATGAATTTCAAACCTACAGAGAATCCAGTGGTGAAATCTAATTTTTTTTTACTGCCGGTTCTGTGGGCGTGGCTTGGTGGGCATGGCAGGGGAAGGATATTGAAAAATCTCCATTCCCACCCCACTCCAGGGGAAGGATACTGCAAAATCCCCATTCCCTCCCCACTCCTCGGGGAAGGATATTGCAAAATCTCCATTTCCACCCAACTCTGGGGCCAGCCAGAGGTAGTATTTGTTGGTTCTCCGAACTACTCAAAATTTCCACTATGGGTTCTCCGAACTACTCAAAATTTCCGCTACCAGTTCTCCAGAACCTATCAGAACCTGCTGGATTTCACTCCTGAGAGAATCCCTTCGCTGACTGCGGAATTCTGTGAGGTGAAGTCCACACTTCTTAAAATTGCTGAGAAGCAAGGCTGCCTGGGGAATTCTGGGAGTTGAAGTCCACACTTCTTAAAGTTGCCAAGGTTGAGAAGCATGATTTCAAAGCATTGGCTATCCAAACTTTGCTTCAAAACTCCCAATGATGAAGCCACCACAACTCCAGGAGGTTGGTTCTCCAACTGCTTCAAAATGGCTACGATCAGGAGATTCCACCTCACCAAGTTTGAATCTCTCTCTCTCTCTCTATAGCTTCAATTTTTTGTGGCTTCTTGTCGGATTCTTGAGTGCTAGGGAGGAAAAAAAAAACCCTACACCCTCTTCCCTGTGTGGCAGTCCTTCAAGAATTGAAAGACTGCTTTATTTTATGAAGACTCAATTAATTTTATAATCCCATCAGTACTCGTGTTTCCCTGCAAATAAGACCCGGTCTTTCCACCCCACTCCAAAAGAGGCATTAGGTCTTATTTTCGGGGAATGTCTTCTACTGTCTCACCTCACGGTGGTGGCATCGACAGTCCCGCCCAGCAGGAGCCCATGTGGCAGATGCTGGCCCACTTCTGTTACCGCTTGCTGCTGTTTGTGAATGGTGCCCCCAGCCTCCGTATCACCATCAGGGGCCTTCAGAAAAGGCCTCTGCTGCTGAGAAACGATCTCTGATGGCACCTCTGATGGCAAAACAGAGGTTGGGGGCGATGTGCGCAAGCAGCGGCAAGCGGCTGCAGAAGAAGTGGGCAAGGCATGTGTCTTGGTGTGCAAGGCCTGGCTGCAACTGTCTGAAGGTAAGCAGCTCCTCCCCTATCCCCATCAACCCTAGCTTGATTTTTACCTGTGCGCCTTGCCCCACGCTATGTAACCAGGTGCAATGGAGTGGGCGGGGTCTTAACTAGGGCTTATTTAGGGGGTAGGACTTATATTGGGTGCATATGTAAAAATCAACCTGGGGCTTATTTTCAGGATAGGTTTTATTTTTGGGGAAACATGGTAGTATTGTATAATCTTTTTTGTTGGTTAGCTTTCTTTGAGTCATCATAATGTATCTAGAAGGGTGTGTTTTTTTTAATCCGCCTACTCACTTCACTATATAACTGCCATTTATCAATATTTTTTTTCCTATTAGTGCTGCCGTTTTTAATACCTTGCTTTTAATATTTTCAAACACATTTTTAAAGACCCCTAACAAGGGGCAAAGCAGAGTTTGTTTGTTTGTTGTTTTTTTTAAAAAAAAACTTCTGGCACCTTCCTTTAATTCCAGTCTAGAATGGAGGTAGAGATAACAATCTTGCATTTTGCTATAAAAAGCCATTTTGGTGCCATTATGAATTATTCAAATGGTGTCGGTGTTTAGTTTTAATTCTTCTCTTTAAAGTCTGGACTATTTTGCACAAATAAGGAGGTGGGCGATATCAGTCCCAGTGCTGTTTTTTTTAACATAAAACAGCAGGTGATGGAGTGACTATATCTTGTTTCAAGATATCTTCAACTAGAACAAACACACTGTGCTTTAAAGGTCCACAACATGCAAATGTAAAACAATAGATCATATCCAGCAGGAAGCAATTAGAATGAGCGCTAAGGTAGTAGCTATGCCTACAGGTTGAAAAAAAAGGGATGTCTTTCAGAAGATGAGAGATGTTTCTTTGTTCCCTAGGCAGGTGTACCTTTTTTCTCTATGCAAATTAGAGAAAAATATGAAAGCAACAGCTGCAAATGTATGAATTGAGCCAGATCCAGTATTATATCACTTCATGTAATGTCTCAGTTGCCTCCTTCCCCAAAATGTAGAAATCTCATGAGATGGAGAAAGCTGGTGAGATGTGGCACAAGAAACGAAATAAATACACAAAGGAGTAAGTAAACCTGCAAATGCTTAAAACTTATTTCACTGCGGGATTGAAGTAAAACTTGGCACCTTGAGTGAATCCACAACTTTTGCAATCCTTCCTCAAAGAAGTCCATGAGGAATGATGGAAGAAAATGAAGCTCTCTAAGATATCTAGGACTTCAAAATTCCCATCGGTAACTACCAGGGCATTATTGGGTTACCTAAACTTTTCCTATTTCCTGGCCTCATCCATAGTGATTCCAAGAGCCAGGAATACTCAGGCCAAGGTAGCAAAAAAAAACAAACAAACAAAAAAACCCCCACAAATGGTATTTCTCTCCCCTCCCAAGAAAATCACCAAACTTCGTCTACACAACAGAGAAGAGCCGAATCAAATCAGTTTCCTTCATAAGCATAGCTCCACTTGAGCAATCCCAGGCGCAAATTGAAAAGATTGAACACCGTGAATATATAAATTCCTCTCTTACCTGTTTGATTTTCTCTCTGGCTCCTTGATAACTTTTGTGGTACGATGCTTATAGGCAAAACAAGGGCACAGTCGTTCTGGTGCCTCTTTATATTTGGATGGGCGGAGCGGATATGAGATTAAAATAAACAAGGTAACATAGTGGGGCAAACGAATGATTCATGTTGAGGTGTACTTCTGGTTAGCGTGCTGGTCTGGGAGATGTACTTCTTAAAAGGCAGCTATAGAAGACGGCGAAAGGCACAGGCATTGGTAAACGCACTAGGTTTCTAAGTATTGATCGGCAGTACTCTCTGGTTTACTAGAACAACTAGACACAAGAACAGTTTTTTCCCAAACGCCATCGCTCTGCTAAACAAATAATTCCCTCAACACTGTCAAACTATTCACTAAGACTGCATTACTATTACTATTCATCTTGTCATCGTTCCTATCACCCATCTCCTCCCACTTGCGACTGTATCAGTGGTGGGTTGCCCCCAGTTCGCACCAGTTCTATAGAACCGGTAGTAAAACCAGTGGGAGGCTCCGCCCACTGACCCCGACATCATCAAAATGCTTCTGCGCATGCGCAGAAGAGCACGCGGGCGGTCCCGCTGCAAACCAGTAGTAAAGGTAAATAGAACCCACCCTGGACTGTATGACTGTAACTTGTTGCTGTATCCTTAGGATTTATATTGATTGTTTCCTAGTATGATTTGATTGCTTATTTGTACCCTATGACTATCATTAAGTGTTGTATGTTATGATTCTTGATGAATGTATCTTTTCTTTTTATGTACACTGAGAGCCTATGCACCAAAGACAAATTCCTTGTATGTCCAATCACACTTGCCAATAAAAAATATCTATCTATCTATCTATCTATCTATCTATCTATCTATCTATCTATCCTCCTGCCATTGCAAAAGTATGAATTTTTTTGTGTTCTAATAATGAAAAGAATGGAATCATAGGCCAAACCCCTGCCTAGAGCAGGAAACCTCAGCTCATCCCAGACCAGTGTTTCTTAACCTTAGCATCTTTAAAAAATGTGTGGACGTCAACTCCCAGAATTCCCTGGCTAGCATGTGGCCATCTCTCCTTAGTCTTGAAGCTTCTGTTTGTGCAGACCATTAAAAGGACCAGAAGAAGATTCAGAAGAGATACAGCAAGTTCTTCTGCCTACCTCATACGGGGTTATTGTGGGGGAAAATAGGAAGATGCCCAGCGGTGGGTTGCACATTATGGTGCTACTGGTTTGAGTGTATGCCTGCCTTCCGCACATGCGCCCGGCTTTTTGTGCATGTGCTTTGCTCATGCGCGCGCCTTCCGTGCATGTGCCCGGCCTCAAAAATGTGCCTAAATAGGACGACATAGAGCCAGGGCAGGTGGGTGGGTGGGCAGGCACCAGCAATTTCCGCTACCGGTTCGGGCAAACCGGTCCGAACCGGCTGAATATCACCTCTGAAGATGCTCCTTGAGCTGATCGAAAGTCAGGATAGGAATCAAATAAATAGATATAAACATATCAGATCCTGCTTGAGCAAAGATGTCTTGTTTGAGGCCAAGTTAAGATCAAGGCTCTTATACACAGAAATAGGTTCCAACTCCCGGAAGATGGCCTTACTTGCTGGGAAATTATGGATGTTGGACCACACATTCCAAAGACACCCAGATTGGGTAAGGCAGTTAGACATCTTATGAGGTAAACGGATCAGGCTGTCAGTAGCCAATTCATCAGCTGCATTGGTAGACTGCTGGCTTTCCAGGAAAGCGAATGGGTGGAGGTAAGTTTTGGCCCGATTCCCCATCTTGTGACAAATACCCTGAAGATCCTTTTTCGCCTGGAGACTGAAGATTAAAACATATGAAGAATGATTGATAGATAAGATTTTAGAATGTGCTAAAATGGATAAATTAACAAAAAAAATTTAAGAAAAAGAAGAGACAGATTATTATAGAATATGGAATAAATGGTATAAATGGCTTAAGGTGAGAAATAAAGAATAATAACTATCAGGGGAAAAAATTAGAAGTATAAAATATATACATAACAAATGTATGGAGCGGAATAAAAATGTATAGAAACGGACAAAAACAAACAGTATAAATAAAGAAGAAAATTTTTATATAACAAGAATATAAAAATGTATATTAAAGATATAATTAAAATATGTGTATAATAATTGTAGAGAAATGTATAAAATTAAGCTTGTTAAAGCTAAAAAGCATATTGTAATCAAAGGGGGCGGGGGAAGGACAATGGGAAAAAGAAAGAAAGAAATGAAGACATAGGGGAGGAAAGATAAAATAATAGAAAGAAGACCACGAAGAAACAATGTTTAAAAGAGATATGTATATGTTGTATGTTATGTGAATGTCATATATATGTTATAATAAAATTATAAATTAAAAAAAACTTATGAAGAATGGTGGCAGGAATTGGGTATGTCTAGTCTAATGAAAAGAAGGACTAGGGAGTGACATGATAGCCGCGTTCCAATATCTGAGGGGCTGCCACAAAGAAGAGGGAGTCAAGCTATTCTCCAAAGCACCTGAACGCTGGAGAAGAAGCAATGGATGGAAACTAATCAAGGAGAGAAGCAAGGTAAAACTAAGGAGAAACTTCCTGATAGATGGAACAATTAATCGTCAGTTCAGTGAGGCGGTAGATGTGATGTGCCGGTGCCTGGAGGCTGTAAGGATCTGGATGGGAGTCAACAGGCTCAGACTTAACTCAGACAAGACCGAATGGCTCTGGGTATTGGCCCCTAAAGACTATGTCGATTGTCCATCCTTGGTTCTGGGGGGAGAGAAAGTGCCCCCCTCAGAACGGGCTCGCAATTTGGGTGTCGTTCTAGACTCACAGTTGAGATTGGAACAACATCTGACAGCTGTAGCTAGGGGGACCTTTGCACAGTCTGGTGCACCAATTGCGACCCTACTTGGATCAGGAGGCTCTCCTCACAGTCACTCATGCCCTTGTCACCTCACAGTTGGACTATTGCAACGCGCTCTACATGGGGCTACCCTTGAACAGTGTTCGGAGACTACAGGTGGTCCAGAATGCAGCCACGCGAGTTATAGTGGGTGCACCTAGATACACCCACATTACACCAATTCTCCGCGAGCTGCACTGGCTCCCTATCGGTCTCCGGGCACAATTCAAGGTGTTGGTTATTACCTTTAAAGCCCTACATGGCTCAGGACCAGGCTATCTTCGAGACCGCCTTCTACCACATAGCTCCCAGCGACTGGTAAGATCCCACAGAGTCGGTCTTCTCCGGGTCCCATCAGCTAAACAATGTCAGCTGGTGGGCCTGCGGGGGGGGGGGCTTCTCTGTGGCTGCCCCGGCTCTCTGGAACCAATTACCTCCTGAAGTCCGGACCATCCCCACCCTATTGGCCTTCCGGAAAGCGGTGAAGACCTGGCTCTTCCGGCAGGCCTGGGGCCGTTGATCTCGTTATAGTGAACTTGTGAGACCCGGCCACAAATTGGAGTGTATGTGTTTTAACGTTTTAACGTTTTAATGTCTTCTTTTAGCTTTTGTATGGGATATTGTTGCATTGTTTTATTCTCTGTTGTAAGCCGCCCAGAGTCCCTTGGGAGTTGGGCGGCATAGAAATGCGACAAAATAAATACATAAATAAATAATCAGCGGAATGGTTTGTCCCCGGAAGTTGTGAATGCTCCAACACCGGAGGTTTTTAAGAAAAGATTGGCCAGCCATTTGTCAGAAATGTTATAGGGTTTCCTACTTGAGCAGGGGGTTGGACTAGAAGACCTCCCAAGTCCCTTCCATCTCTTCTGTTATTCTGATCAGGTTGTCAGTAGCCAGTAGCCAATTCATTGGCCACTTGGGCGGCGTGCTGGCTTTCCAGGAGAGGGAAGGCTGGAGCAAGCTTTGGCCAGATACCCCATCTTGTGACAAACGCCCTGAAGATAATTTTTTTTTAACCTCTGCATGTATTGCACAGAGTAAACTCCCTTAGACACATACATGCCATGAATTTGGGGGTAAAATGCATCACCAGACCGAAAGAGGACACGGCGGAGAGAAATTGACATCTTCCTTCACTTCTCTTCCTCCAAAGCATGCTAATTATTTCCTCCTTGCATTATCTAGAAGTAGTTAGGACTCCTTTTGTTACGCCCTCAGGCATAAGGAAGTAAAAATCGTTTTGCTCTCTATTGTCTCATACTTTTCCCCCTGATGATTAACTACCCCGCCCATGGAAGAAAATAGAAATGAAATGTCACACTCAAAACTCACAAAATCCTTCAGTAAACGTGCTGACTGAGGAATTCTGGAATTCATACCTCTTAAAGTTGCTAAGGCAGGGAATCCCTGGTTTAGAGAATGCAGCAAAAGTATAGTCAGTTGTTGTTAGTCTACCCCAGTGTTGGCGAACCTTTTCGGCACCGAGTGCCAAAATGGAAGTGAGTGTGTGCATGTGTGTTTGCCGGAAACCGGAAGAGCAGCTGCATGGTGCGCATGTGCGTGCTGGGAAGATCATCTTCTGGTTTCCGGCGCACGCATATGCACCGGCCACCTGGTCTTCCAGTTTCTGATGTGCATGCGTGCCTGAAGACCACCTGGCTGGTGCACATGCACATGCTGGAAACTGGGAGATCATCAGAGGCTTTTCAAAGCATTTTTTTCTGCAGCCTCTTGGCTGAAGAGGTGGTTAAAAAAATGCTTTGAAAAGTCTCTGACGATCCCAGCTGAGTTGCCTGATCGGCAGAGAGGCTTTTCAAAGCGTTAGAAAAAATGCTTTGAAAAGTTAAAAAAAAAAAAAGTTGGCCACACCCACCCAGTCACATTAGCCCCCCCCCCAAGCCACGTCCACAGAACCGGTGGTAACAAATTTTACATTTCACCCCTGGGCGTGTGGTCCTCTTCTGCAACCTTCTGACAAGCAAAATCAATGGGGAAAGCCAGATTCACTTCAGCGCCGTGTTACTAATTTAAGAACTGCAGCGATTCACTTCACACATGTGACGAGAAAGGTCGTAAAATGGGGCAAAACTCACCGAACAAATTTCTCTCTTAACCACGGACATTCTGGACTCCATGGTGGTCGTACGTTGAGGATTTACCTGTAATCACTTTCCTTGCC